CGTATGTGTTTTTTTCCGACATTTGATTCTCCAGGACCGTGGTGCTGGAGGAACTCCTGGACCTGGTCAGGGAGCATGCCAAGCAAAGGAACGCGCTCGGCAAAAGGCCCCCGCCTGCTCCTGCTGCTCACTCAGCGGTCCGATCTGGAGGCGAACTTCCCGAGCGTCTGCGTCAAAGCCCAGCGCCATGGAGGCACTGCTCGCCAAAACGATCACTTTCGCCAACTCCGCGTCGTGGCCCAACGTCTTGGAAAGGCCAGAGCAACTGGCCAGAACTTTCATCTCACTCACTTGCCGAGGAATTTCTAAAACGACGATGGGCAGGCGGCCCAGCGTCTTTGCCGCCTGCTTCAAGGCCTCCTCCACCTCAACGTGGCCGGGGGCACCCAGCTGCTGGCGCAGCTTTTCTCCTGCGGTCTCCTTGACGCTGTCGAGCTGCACGTGGACGATGCCCTCGTGAAAGCCTGCGTCTCGGCATGCCTTGAACAAGGCGAAGCTCTTGCCGGACTGGTGGTTGCCCCAGATCAGCACGGGGGAGCGATCATCCAGGCCCAGCAACCCGCTGATCTGGGCCGAGCACAACCATGTAGCATGAAAAACAAAGCACACGAGGACTTACGCATGATGCCGGGCCTGGACGTGCTTGCGCGGGATCTCCACTTCGGGCTTGGCAGCGTGGAAGGCGCTGTGGATCACCCGATTCACGATTCGATTGCGATCTATGTGCGCCTGCAAGTGATCGTGCACAGTCACTGCGAGTGGCAAAGCACCACCGACCCCCAGCCCCGCGAGGATGGTCTTGCCAGCAGGCATCATTGCTCGGAGGCGAGCACGCATCGCTACGTAGCTTCTGGGCAACTTGGACCATTCCGTGTCTGCTGAACACCAACACCAAGTCTAGCCACAGTGATTCCAGTCCAGTGCCGACAACACACCGGAACGCACGCCAGCTGGCTCTGACGGGTACAAGGCAGTTTGGGCACTGCGATATCTAGGAATAGTACATGCAAAGAGCTGCCGCCTCTTCCAGGAACGGCGAGAGCGCCGCACAAGGCCTGAAAAGCGCTTACACGTAAGCCTACCATGCCAAGCTACGCTCCACCAACACGATAGCCACATTGAAACCGCAGGCCTTGTCGAAGGGGCGCTCGCAGAGCTCAACATGAAACGGCTGCGGAACAAGCAAACAACCATAAAGCGCAAAGCCCAAAAAGTAGCCATGGTCAATCTTTAGCCCAACTAGTCAGATCAAAAAAGCGGCTGTCTGGCAATATTTGCAGCGGATACAAAAAAATCCTGCCGAAATAATGGAAGAAAAAACAAAGAAACTAGACTATAAGTTGCACTTGCACGGCAAACCCACTGCCAAATCCACGGTCTGGTCTTGCAACTCTTCCACGCAACTCACGTCAACGAGCTTTGAAAAATGAAGGCTGCAGCTTGCCGCCCAGGACGCGATGCCCTCCTGGCCGCAACGACCGCGCTGGTATCCGGCCACGCCCAGCGCTAGTTTAGCAGCTAAGGAAGCCGCTCCCGAGCCTTCTTGAGCGCATCACAGCATTGGAACATCAGCTCCGCTGCTTGCAAAGCTCGGGGCAGCGCCAGTTTCGGAATTCCTGCAGGAATCTCTTGAGCAACGTCCCAGCTAGCATGTTTTGCGTCCTTCATTGCCACTCGTGGCGATTGTGAAGCTCCTGCAAACACTGCTCCAGGTTCCGAGGAAACCGCCAGCAGAGTCGTGGCACTTTCGCCTCGTCGGCCTCGAGGCTGCGGGTGGACACGGAACGCCAGAGCACAGCCAGGGGCCTCGTGACAGCGCCACACGCGTCCAGGACACCCTAGCTCTAGGTGATGCACCGTCGTGAACAGGATTCGGCCCACGGACGACTATCTCACAGTCGCCAAAAAACAATCTCTGGGTGGGAAGAAAAGAAACAACTTAGAAGACTCAGTTTTTGGGTGCTTAGGACATGTTGGTGAGAAGCTTCGATTCCAGATGTTGAATGCTGCAACGGCAATGAAAGGTGTTCTGGGCTAGATTGTCTTCTATGGCGCCAAAGGTGTCTTTTCTAGACTGAGACAACTTGATGCATTGCGCCGTCTAAGTTGTGCACCGTGCACACATTGCGTATCGCCATTTGGCGTGCACACAGAGTCTCCGGTCTGCCACCACTGGCGTAAGCAACGAAACTCATCTTACAAAACTAACGATTCTATTGTCTGCATGAAGCCTGTGGGTTTTCTACGGTTTTCTATCCGGTTCTGTGGTTTCTTTAGATTTGTGATGGCAACAGGTCTTGTTTCAAGACATAAAGGAAAATTCAGACTTTAACCTGTCGATTTTGAGGACTGAAGGCGGTCGCAACTTGTCGGATTCCCTGCGGGAATTGTGCGATAAATTGGAACGCGATATCAAAGAAGATTAACATGGCCCTTAAATGCGCAAGGATGACACGCGCAAATGGAGAAATGAAACAAGTTTTGTTTACAATGTGCATGCACATGTTGTGCTACGACAAAAAGTTTTGTGCTTGACAACGAAACTAGACAAGAGGTTCTCTTCTTCCAACATCAAAACAGCAATAGCAAGATAGAGCAACCCAGGGTGGACTCGAGCCACCGAAACACTGCTGACAGCTTTGGACGTCTCCACATCAAGCGACGGCTTGAGGCGACGGATGGCCGAGCTGCGAGTCGGCATTCCGGTGCTCTCACAGGTTCCTGCCCTCTCGACGACACACGGTGAAGCGACGACGCGGCGAGAAGACAACAATACGGCGAAGACGACGGACGCGGCGATGGCTCAGAACCACCTTGCTCTAGAGCCGGCGTTTTCCCAGAGCCGCGTTAGAAAGATGCTTTAAGCACTCGTTGGTGGATCATCTTGGCCACTGAGTCCTGCCAGCAAATAAATGGCTTGTAACTTTCAAAGTTAAGGGGAACCACCGAGTGGTCCAAAAAGCATCTTTCTAAGCGTTACCACCAAAACATTGCCATCAAAATGTTGCCACCACAACGTTGCCTTGAACATTGCCGACTCCAATCTTTCCAACCCCAAAGAAGGACTTACGCTATGAACAAAACAGCCAGAGACTACACCGTAATAAAGCGCAGTTTTGAAATATGGATTTAAGAGAGAAGCCGGGGCTGGGCCCCAGACCTTCGACGAAGGGGGGGCTTAAGGGGGGCTTCAAGGGGGGCTTAAGGGGGGCTTCAAGGGGGGGCTTAAGGGTCACCCCCTTAAGGGGGTCTTAAGGGGGGGGGGGGGGGGGGGGGGACGAAG